CATGACCTGAGGAGAAATGAAGAGCCGATGCTCAGCCAACTGTACCAACCAGGGGCCCCCCAAAACACTATAACCGGAAAAAATTTCAAAGGTAATTTTATAGCTCAAACTTCAAAATAAAAAATTTACTAGATAAATGAAACTTCAAAAAACTAAGGAAAATTTTAGAAATACTGAAATCAAGATAGAATTCCACTGAAGAATTTGAATCATGAGTAATATTCTTCTATTTACATTTCAAACTTAAATACTATCACCTTGGAAATAAGTGCATCAATTCAACCTTTTTGTGGTATGAACTTTGGCACATCATTTACCACACATCATTTCCCTATTAGTACAGTCAGTTCAATAAAAACAAAAAAACTATTAACAGTTCAAATACTACACATTTTAAATAAAGACATATTTTTATGTATGCAAGATCAAAACAATTTTTAATGAGTTACCTGAATGAAGCAAAAGATGTTACTGTTCATTTTTTTTTTTGATTTTATTTATTTAGTTAAGAGAGAGAGAGCTAACGAGCACGAGCGGGTGAGGGGCAGAAGGAGAAGCAGACTCCCCACTGAGCAGGGAGTGAGGGGCAGAGGGAGAAGCAGACTCCCCACTGAGCAGGGAGCCCAAGTTTTTTGTTTTTTTTTTTAAAGATTTATTTGAGAGAGAGAGGGAGAGTGCGTGCGAGTGGGGAGGGGAAGGAGGGGGAGGAGCAGAGGGAGAGGGACAAGCAGACTCCCAGCTCAGCACAGAACCTGATGCAGGGCTCTATCCCATCACCCTGAGATCATGACCTAAGCTGAAATCAAGAGCTGGACGCTTAACTAACTGAGCCACCCATGCGTCCCATTACTGTTAATTTTTAAGTGAAAACTGATTTTATGATCTTCGAAACTCAGGGAAAACAGTTTTGAATAAAGATCAGTAAATATTTAAGATATTAGAGTATATTAAAGTACATTTACATTTAATGTAAAGTATTACATTTAATGTACATTTAGTACATTAAAGTCCATATTAAACTAATATGGACTTTATCATACAGACATTCTTAATCTTGTTGGTAATATTTCCATGTTTTTCCTTCTGGTTCATTAAGACCAAATAATTTGAAATGCAGTAAGAAAATAAAGTGTAAAATCAACTAATAATTCAAAAATGTGTAAAAAAATATAAGGTGAGATTTTGCTTCCTACCTAAGAAACAAGAGTTTCTTTCCCAAATCCCATGTTTCTTATATTATGATAGTATATAAGCCTTTTCCTCCTCTCCAAAAAAAATACTGAGGAACCTATACCAAACCATAGTAAAGGAAAAGGTTTTGGTTAGTTCCCTTTGGAAAAGAAAACCATAAAGCAGAGCCATGAAGTACAGAGAAAAAGATCAATGTCCTGTAGTAGAATTCACACGTTCTGGCTCCAAGACAAGAGAAAATAGAGAAACCTACCTTACAGTTCATAATCCCATACCTTCTCTTAAGCTTGTGCTGTCTTTTCTTTCTTTTTCCCAATAAAGTTTACTGAGATATAAATCACATACCATAAAATTCACTCATGTAAAAGCGTTTGACTCATTGGGTTTTAGTATATTCACAAAGCTGTGCAACCATCACCACTATTTAATTTCAGAATATTTTCATCACTCCAGAAAGAAACCCCATACCCATTAGCAGTTGCTCCCCATCTCCCTCTGTCCCCAGCCATGGCAACCACTCATCTATTATCTGACTCCATCGATTTGCCTACTGTGGACATTTCATAGAAACAAAATCAAATAGTATGTGGCTTTTTGTGCCTGGCTTCTATCACTTAGCCTGTTTTCAAGATTCACCCATACAGGGCGCCTGGGTGGCTCAGTTGGTTAAGCGACTGCCTTCGGCTCAGGTCATGATCCTGGAGTCCCGGGATGGAGTCCTGCATCGGGCTCCCTGCTCAGCAGGGAGCCTGCTTCTTGACCCTCTTCCCTCTCGTGCTATCTCTCATTCTCTCTCTCTCAAATAAACAAATAAAATCTTAAAAAAAAAAAAAAAGATTCACCCATACAGTAACTCATATCAGTACTTCACTCCTTTTTATTGCTAAATAGTATTCCATGGTATGGATATATAACCTTTTTTTTTTAAATCCATTCATTAGCTGATGGATGTTTAGGTTGTTTACATTTCTTCTGTTATTTTTTAACAACTGATTTTTGTGTGTGTGGCAAAATACATGTAACATAAATTTATCATTTTAATCTTGTTTACATGCACAGTTCAATGCATTAAATATATTCACACTGTACAACCATCACCTCCATCCATCTCCACAAGTTTTTCATCTTCCCAACCTGAAACTCTGTGCCTATTAAACACTAAACTCCTGGGGTGCCTGGGTGGCTCAGTCGGTTAAGTCTCTGCGTTCAGCTCAGGTCATGATCCCAGTGGGATCGAGCCCCAAATCACATCGGGCTTCCGGCTCAGCAGGGAGTCTGCCTCTCCCTCTCTCTCTCTGCCTCTCCCCCTCCTCTGCTCTCTCTCTCTCTCTCCAATAAAATCTTAAAAAAAACAACAACAACACTTAAGTCCCCATTCCTGCCTTTCTCCAGCCCCTGGCAACCACCATTCGACTATCTGTCGCTGTGGATCTGACATATAAGTAGAATCATATAAATCATATGATATTTATCCTTCTGTGTTGCTTATACTTATTGACTATTATAAATAGTGCTGCTATGAACATTCATGTACTGCTCTTCTATGGGCGTATGTTTCAATTCTCTTGGGTCCCCTTTGTTTTACCTGTCCATTAAGAACTTATCTGCCTCTTTCTTTGTTACATAAGTTGAAGTTAGCCAAACCCATATCATCTTTTGCCTGAGGAGGTAGTTCTTGTTATACCTGCCTTTTCCTTTTGAACCTAGGTCTGTTCCACTCCCATTCGGGTGAAATAAGCAAACTGGAGAGATAAGAAAAAGTTTTTAGATCAAAGGATGCCCAAACAAATCAGAAGAGTCAGGGTGATGAAAGGTTAAGTAGTACAGCCAGAAACAATTCTTCAGTTCCATACCAGAGGCTAAACCACACATTCCCAATGATTGTTAAGAAAGTCTTACAACTCAATAATAAAAAGATAAATAATCCAAATAACAATGGGCAAAGGATCTGAAAAGACATTTCCTCAAAGAAGATACACAAATGGTTCCTAGGCACATGAAAAGATACTCAACTTCATTAATCATTAGGGAAATGCAAATCAAAACCATCCTGAAATAGCACTTCACACACACTAGGATGGCTATAAATAAAAAACAAAAAATAGCAAGTACTCTCAAGGACATGGAGAAATTAGAACCCTTATATACTGCTGATGGCAATATAAAATGGTGCAACCTCTGTAGAAAACAATATAGCAGTTCCTCAAAATGTTAAAGAGTTACTATATGATTCAGTGATTCCATTCCAACATATACATGCAAGAGAAAGGAAATACAAATGCATACAAACACTTGTACATGAATTTTCATAGCAGTCTCATTCAATAACCAAGAAGTGGAAATGACCCAAAGGCCCATCAACAGATAAATGGACGAACAACATGTGCATATCTATACAGAATGAAGTATCGACGCATGCTATGAGATGGATGAACCTTTTAAACACTAGGTTAAGTGAAAGGAGCCAGTTACAAAACAGCACATATTATATGGTGCCATTTATAGACAATGTCCACAAAAAGCAAATTTATAGAGGCACAGGTAGATTAATGGTTGCCTAGGGCTTAGAGCAGCTGGAGGGAATGGGAAGTGACCACTTATGGGTACACAGGATTTCTTTTGGCGGTAATGAAGATTTCTAAAAAGATCATGGTGATGGTTGCATAACTCTGTAAATACACTTAAAACCATTGAATGATACGCTCAAATGAGTGAATTGTATGACATGTGAATTGTATTTAATGTTACCAAAACTGAATCGTGAGAAAACGATCACAAGCTTGGATGTCACAGTAAATGTCAAATTACTTCAAAAGTCTCTAAGGCCTACCCTCAATTTTTGTACTTACCTCACCGTGGACAGATAATAAACTGCCCATGGCCTGCATACCAGTCCATAATACACTGTGAATAGCCCTGATCTGCTCCGTTCTCTTACCTGTAATGCTCCCTCATCTAAGCCCCAGTAAGAACTACTAAGAGTCAAGAAAACAATAGAGTTAGTGTAGTGGGTGACTCCAAGTTCTGGAGTCAGACAAACCTGCACTTGAATTCCAGCTCTGCCACTTACTTTCCAGCGTCATGGTTTGGTTCTCCTGGATCTCAATTTAGTCCCATGTAAAATGGAGATGAGTACAACTTACATCATCCAGTTTTAGGAGTATTACTGAGATAAACCACACAAAGTGCTCGGCCAGTCTCCGGCACACAGTATGGGTTCAACAAATGTCATGCACTGTCACCCTCAGAGCCGCCTCCTCCATCTCCTCCCCCTCTTTTTCCTCTTGGATCTTTGCATCCAACCTCATCTTTCCCTAAGTCTTTCAAGGCCCAGGACTCTGGTACTGTTCCATTGCCCTAACACATAGCAACATGTTGCTTCTGCCTGACTGGGAGCTATTCCCCATTCTTGTAAACACAAAAACCTCACATTTCCTTCAGGAAACTACCCCTTTCCTCCACTCAGTCCCTGTGGTTTGTGGTAGGAAGATGATGTACTTGCAGCTCCAGGGCCAGATAACCCTGGTCCAGCCAATCACAGAATCCATCTCTCTGGCCTCAGAGGAAGAGCCTTTGCAAAATCGAAGGCAACAAAGAGGAAAGCAAAACCTCGAGATGAAGAGAAAATGGAGTTCTCTGACATCACCTAACACCCAAAATCCAGCTATGTCCTAAGTCAGCCCTTACTACCGCTGAGGATTTGTGTTACCATCAGCCAAGAAATTCATTTTGCTGCCTAATCCAAGTCTGAGTTGGTTTTCTGTCACTTGCACACGAAAGTGTTTCTTGTTTGAAAGTCAGCAGCTCACCGAAACCCAAACATGATTTCATCGTGGCGGAGGTGAGCATCATCATCAATAGACAGGATGGCCTCTGTCTCAATTTCATTCCAGGGCAAGAATCGATTGTTCAAACTGTTCTTCTCAGTACGGACCACCTGTAAGGAGGAAGTAAAAACACTAATGATCAATGCTGCATTACAGAATGCAAAACCAAAACTGCCTTTAGGTCAAAGGAGACTTGTAGCTAAATTTACTAAATAATCTTGCCTGGTTGCCTACGGCTTGTAAAACCTAGCATATGCCTTTCAGGAATAGGAACTGCCTTATAATTCAGCAAATGTATAAGGAGTTCACATTTTAAGCTTTAGTCATTTTGCTAATTTTCTTGTGAAACAAGCTAAAGCTGAGGATTATTTTACATAAGTGATAAACACAGTCTCGGGAAATCAAAAATAACTTTCCCAAGAGAACACAAGATGGCAGAGTAGAACTGAGATTATAATTCCCAGCTCAAATCCCCAGGCTTGCTCATAAATTTTAAAACCCAACTCAGAAATCTCCTGAGTCTGTGTCATTTCTGATGCCTAATTTTAAGGTTTATTTAAAAAAAAAAAAAAGGAGAGCCCACCCAGTAGAGGTTAGTTACCTCACCTTTGCAATTCCCACCTGTAGCACTGACTACACATACAAAAACTTTTTCTTGCAAGGGGTACCTAATTCAGAAAAATTAACTGCTGTGTCCACAGCAAATCCCTATTCAAAGAATCTCTATCCAAAGTGACCCATATATGCAAAGCAGTATTTTCTTCATAAAACAAAGATTAGTGCCCAAACATAACTATATTATAAAAAAATTTTTTTAATTTAGACTTTACCTTAGATAAGTACAGTTTACTACAACATAGGTAGTAGCTTTGTTAATCACCTTGCCCAATACTCAAATGATCATACTCTACTTTAATAGCTCATTTTATTTTTATGGTATCTGTATCTAATTAATCCAACTAATGAGGAACTATCATTTTATTCTCAAGAAAACAAAAACAAAGAGAACTTCCTGAAGAATGATCTTTTTAGAAAGATTGGAAGGGTCACCTTACTTTCAACAGAAACTTTTACTTGTACTGAGAATAAGCTCTACCTAGCTTAATGAATGGAATTACATGCACGGCCTAAAAGTTTATGAATGTTTTCAAAGGTAATCCTATGATCTCACAAATATGGTCTCTTCAGCTTAAAATACTTTTTCTCCTATTCTTCTACTAAAATTATTCTCTCCCTAGAGACCCAGCTCTCACGCCTGTCACTTCCTTCCTCTTCAAAATTAATCATTTCTATGTTCTTAGAGCAGAGTCCACATACTTCAATTAAATCATTCTAAGACACTTAGAATCCAATTAGTTCAGAGCTAAAAGGGCCTTGGAGATCATATGATCCAACTCTCACCTTGTACATAGACGACAAAGGGCAGAGCTAAGGCACTAACTTGTGCCTTCTAACTCCAAAGCAGTCTTCTTCTGCTAAACTTACATTAAATTTAGAGCTCTCATCAAACCAAAGCCCTATGGAAAATGCATTATTAATTGTGTGCCATCAAGAAAGAAAAATGCTGCCAAATAAGAAAGCACGTGAAATAGTTTATCACTTAGAATGCTTACTTTATTAAAGAGCTTAGCACTTTGCCTCAGCCCCAGAGGAGTTCCTCCCAAGTCAAGAGAAGAAAGGATCTCTAATAGATTTGCTACTACAGAGAACAGATGTCAGAGCCAAGCAATAGACACAGAAATCCACCTTGCCCTGAAGCATGTTTGACCAGTATAAAAAAATCCCTGGGCTTAAAGCCTTGTCTCCCAAGCTCAGATTCAGCAGTTGCAGAACAAAGCACTGAGGTCTGGGTCAGGGAAAAGAGCAAGGAGGGGGAGATGATCAAGTACTCACCATAGAAGCTGCTGGGCTCCATCCCCAAGGAGCAGGAAAGTGGTCAGAAGCAGAAGCCAAACGCCAACCTCAGCAACCATAAAATGCCATCTATCTTAAGATGTACCCAATTTTAGAGATGTTAAAATGTTAATAATGTCCACCTTACAATCAATGGACTATGGCATCTGTTTGCTCAACCACACCCAACAAACTACCTTTGGTCCTTCATTTTACTTTCCTAACATGCCTAGCATTCACTTAATACAGAACTGCAATTCTGCCAGTTCAGGTGAACAAAGCTCCCCCCCCACCTCTAGCAATGAATACACATAGCTTAAAATGAAGAAGAAATAACTGAAAAATCCATTTCTTGAATATTCAATTATAGATCATCAGTTTTGCAGGTCAGACAGCAGGAGGATTATCTACAGCAAAATTAGTAATCCAGGAACGTAGCACAAAACTTTAGTACTCAAAGTGTGAGCCAAAGACCAGCAACAGGGGCCTCGCTGTCCTCCCTAGGACTCTCTTAGAAATGCAGGCCTACCCCAAACCTACCAAGTCAGAACCTGCAAAATCCCCCAGTGATTCCTATTTTGAGAGGGTTGGTAGCAGAAAAAGCAAGTCTTTGGAGTCAATCAGAAAAGCCTGAGTTCAAATTCCAACTCCACCACTTACTTGTTGTGCAAAGGTAAGGAAGCAACCTCTCTGCTAAATGAATACAACAAGCACCATGTTGTGTACAGAAATGGAACTTGTTTATCAGCCAAACTTGACAATCTTATAAACAACCTAACTCACTTTAAAAACAAGAAGCAACAACAAAAACTAAAATAGTCGTGATCTGATGCCTACGGCATATCCAAAATTTTTATCCAATTTACAAAGTAAATCAAATCAAGAGGACCTGCTTGTTCACTGGAAGACTGAGAACTGAAAATCTAATACCAAATGTGTTTTAGCCTAGACTTCACATCCATTTTTTTTTTTTTTTTAGCAAGGTCATTAAAGTCCATTAAGAGGCAAGTCCATTAAGAACAACTACTATGGGGGCACCTGGGTGGCTCAAATGGTTAAGTGTCTGCCTTTGGCTCAGGTCATGATCCCAGAGTCCTGGGATTGAGCCCCGCGTCCAGCTCCCTAATCAACAGGGAGCCTGCTTCTCCCTCTCCCTCTCCCCGCACTAGTGCACTCTCTCTCAAATAAATCTTGAAAAAAAAAAAAGAACAACTACCGTGGATTCCAGAAATACAGTACACATACTACCTCTGCTCATCCTGGCACAACTCCTCTGGGCTGAATGGAAGCAAGATTTTCAGGATAAGGGAACTGATGCCAATAGCCATCAGAATAAAAGAAATAATTTAAGAATTCAGAGAAACACAACATCATGAATTGCAGCAGCTTATTTCTGGTTAGCTCACAAAAACTGTGGTTAATAAGTCTGCTTTCACAATTTACAGCAGGGATTCTCAACTCTGAGTGATTCTGCCCACCAAGAAACATTTAAAACAGTATCTATGGACGTTTGTGGTTGTCACTACTGGTGGTGGAAGGGGGTAAGCTACTCATGTCTAACGAGCAGAGGCCCGGATGCTGCTAAATCCTACAAAGCACAGGACAAGCTCCCACAACAAAAAATCATCCAGCCCTAAATGTCTTTTGGGCCACTGTTGAGACACCCTGATTTAGAGTCAACAATCAGAAGACGGTACAGCAAACTTCAAAGAATAAATGTAGTTTGTCATTTAAGAACAATCACCTTTTCCTCATAACCAAAAAGAGATTTCTGCACTTAAAACACTGCACAAACTAAAATTGAGGAGGGGAAAAGAGTAAAAGCTTTCTTCTAACAGTTCTGCTTCAGAGCTATAGTGCTTAATGGCTAGACAAAAGCTCAGGAAACTAACCATTATCCCTTCTGGCACCAAAATCATAAGGACAAAAAAACTTAAATATTTGTAATGCAGACCTGCATATCAGCATTGCCCTCTAAGAGTTTGAGAACTGGCAGATCAAACATGAAAGAAATGAGTCATCCAGAGTAGTAAGTCATGTTTAGGAAATATTCTCAACTTTTGTTGACATTGTTTTGTTTTTCAAATTAAAAAACTCCTTCTTCCTCAACATTGGCTATTTTTTTCAGGCCTTATGATTATACCTTAGAAACCTGTGAACATGAAGACTGACCTTCATGTTCCTGAGTGAATTACTGGTTACAACATTGACCAGAATGTATAGACTACTTCCAGTAGGTGTTCAACAAACATTCTATAAACGAATGAATGAACAAATGACTAGGTAATAAGCCCTAATTTCGCCCTGTCCATTCTATTTTCAGAATATGGAATAAATACTTGCTGAATTTTTATATCAAAACTTTAACATTCCATATACTGAAACCTCCTACTATTTAATCTAGTTTTCTACAGCACAACAATCCATCAACTTACAACTATCAAGTCAGGAGCAATGCTCAGTAACATTCATTTTTCTTATTTCACATACAATGCTCCCTGGAGATGCTTCACTAGTTCTCCTGTTTACCAACATTCATAAAAGCCTTGACTTTCTCTCACTGAAACTCTCTTCCTATCACAGTGGAACAGTACAGCAATCATGGCCTGGAACCCTACCATATGCAAATGTACACAAGTGTATGCATGATCAAACAATAATTAGTAACCTCAGGTAACATTCAAGTTGGTTCTTGAGGAACTGTGGAATTTATGAATGATAAAGAGCTACTATTCTAATAGGATCCTTTCTCCTAGTATGCTAACAAGGCATTTGGCTTCTAAATCCAGACAGAATCAGCAAACCCACATTAAGTAGGAAAGTATGAATTTACATCATAAATATTTAATTAGTTATCATGATAAATTTGATGCCCAATTAATAGTTAGCAAATATCTCTTAATATGTAAGGGATGGAAATATAAGTAGTTATTGCTGTTAACAAGGAACAATAGACTATGTCAACAATTAGTAAGTGATAGTTGCTTAAATGTAGCAGGATGAATTTGGATTCAAACAGAAGAAATACCCAAATATGGAATCTTTTATAAACGTAGCTCATGACTAGCCACAGGCAGGTCTTTGAAGTTGGCAGGCAAGAGAAACTGGGCATGAAGAGATTAAGTGAATTAACCCAAGTCATAAAACAGACCAAGAACAGAGAGCACAAAAAGGTAAAACATACCTGAGAAGAAATAAAATTAGAAAACGTATGTGG